AGCTAGCGGAAGGACTCTGGAAGGAGTTATTAGGGTCTGTGCGCTAGGGTGCTAAGCTGAGGGGATGTACCTTTGGCATCGTCAGTAAAGATTTTCCCACTGTTCAGAGCATGCCTGCCAGAGAGTGACGTCAGCAAGGGCAGGCCAAATTGGGAGATAGGAAAAACAAACCAACACCAAAATTCCTGGGTACGTGATTTGAACATTTCAGTCCAGGTTGGCTTAAAGGCCAACCAGCAGCACTCTTTGATGTTAGTGTCACAGGATACAGTAAAATCCCTTGAAGGCCTCAATCAGCATGTGATGGTTTTTCTAGCACTTGAAGCTGAATGGATCTTGGCCTTGAGCACATTTGTAGGAAGGAGCTGGTGATGGGAAGAGGGTACACTGATGCATCCTTGAGGATGCAGAGGTGATGAGAAGAGAGCTTTATGGTCCGCGTAGAATGGCAGGTCGAAATGATGATGAGAGTGAGTATACATAAAAGTGGAGGGGTAAGGGAGGGTGAGGAAATCTCAACATATCTCTGATTTCCTCATTGAAAAGGAGTCCTGGGAAACAGGGGGTTTAAGCAGCAAAGGTCAGTGGTTTAACCTACCAGGCAAAAGATTTGTTGACTTGTTTCTGCAATGATGTTGCTGTTGCTAGGTGCCATCAAGTCGGTTCCAACCGACAGCAACCCTATGCACAACGGAACGAAACACAATGTGGTCCTGCACCGTCACAGTGTCCCTGAGCCCACTGTTGCGGCCCGCTCTATCAATCCTTTCCTTGAGGGCCTTCGTTTGCGCTGCCCCTCCACTTCGCCAAGCATCACGGCCTTCTCCAGGGACTGGTCTCTCCTGACAACATGTCCAGAGTATGTAAGATGAAGCCTTGCAAACATGTGCTTGAACAGGAAACACACTCACTGCCATGAAGTCAATTCTGACTCAAAGTGACCTTATAGCAGAAGGTAGGACTAACTGGCCCTCTTGCTTTCTGAGACTGTAATTCTTTATGGGAGTAGAAAGCCTCCTCTTTCTCCGGGGGCACCGCTGGAGGCTTCACACTGTTGGCCTTATGGAGGGCAGCCCATCGTGGACTTAGGACACCAGCAGGACTCAACCTTGGAAAACCTGTGGGACAGTTCTGCTATGCAACGAGTCAGAACGGACATGAGGGCGATGCGGTGTTTATGTTGTTCTCATGTGAAATGAATGAGGAAGACAGGGAATCAGCATAAATATTCTAGAAGGTACAGAGTAGCCTGTCAATCAGATTTTATTTTCTCAATAGGTAAAATACTTGAATAGGGAAAATTCTTCCCCTGAAGGATTCTGGACTCTTCAATTAGCACTGCGGAAACAGCAGTGTGGGCATCTTCAATGGACCAAATCATAATTCCTTTTCACTGTTCTTTGTGTCTGGGCGACAAAGAGGAGTCGGAAGGGGGAGGATCAAGGAGTAGGGTGGGTGGCGTGAGACTTCCCAATGCAATTCTCTAGGCCAGATCTTGCTACCATAGGGGCTACCCTAACCTGTGCATTGTTGGGATGAAGGAAAAAAAAATCCTCTACTTCCGGGCCTTTTTCCTCACCAATACAATTTTCAACTTTGTGGAAAAAGACTTCCTCCTAATTAGGGTTCCTTCTTCCCCATTATCCTGTGTATTTTGAGAAAATCTATCAAGATCACCTCTCTGGAATAATAATGTGAAAAAATCATCATGACCTTCTGAGCTGACCTCCTTGCCTTGAGTTTAACTGCGGCAGCAGATCCCTCAGAAGTCACCGTGTTGACGGGGTCTTGTGGGTTTCAGAAGGTACCTAAGGAGACTGAGACAAGCACACGACTGAGAGAGCTTGTCTGCAGCCACCCCCTGACGTGGCAGACATGCTTGAAAAGACTTCATTTGGAATAAACCTGGACACAAATATAGTACCAATATACTTTTTTTTTTTTACTTCTTCTGGTAAAAGAGAAATTTTGAGAATGAGAGAGTTGAAGCTGTGGGGCTGAGAATTCGGCTGAGCTGACAGAGCCTCTGATTGTAAACTCTATGCTAACTCATAATCCGTAAAAGCCCTCATATTGTGTATGTTATTTGAGGGCTCATGGATTAAAAAACAACAACACTGCAAGGCAAGTGTTTTTATGAAGGCTAAAATTTATTTGAGTGGTATATCGATATATATTTAAATGATATTTTACAAGCAAGTAGAACTTATGACAAAATTCCCCCAAACATTTAAAGCTTGAATTATATTCCCCTAAACTGTTGAATAATAAGTTGCACCCCATAATTTCCCCCCCAAAAATGTGTGCAAATATTGAGTGCTTATGGATAGGCTAAGTACATATTGTGAGAAAATCTCCCACTGAGTGGGCATAAAAGTGGAAAGCTTAGGCATATCAGAGAAGACATAGTTAAAACGAAAGCAGACTTCCCACCATGGATATGCCCATTATAGTCACAGAAAATGCTTCGTGTTTTGTTTAAATAATTAAAGCCATATTCTATCCTGACGTCGACGGTAGCGGTGTGCTGCTACAAAGAGATGATTGGGGAAGTTCTGCTTCCGGTCCCTCAGGAGATGGCGTCTCTGTCTGAGCTGTGCAGTCGGCGCCGGGGCAGCACAGATGCTGCTGCCGAAAGCCCTTGATGATGATTAAATGGTAATGAAAGTGGGCCTCATCTTTTTCACCAGCAAACATTCTTTTTTCGGATTGAGAGTAAGTGCAGATAAGAAACCCTAGCTTATAAAACCCTTTCGTTGCTGTTGAAGCCAGGCAAGTAGACTTGCTGACATTAGTGGTTTCTTTCCAAACAGCGTTCACTTGGATTCCAAGCAGCAAGGCCTCCTGAAATAAAAATTTCTCTTTAGGAGGCAGCATGAATAGCAAACAAACCAAAACAACCCTTTAAATAACCAAAGTGGTATCATTCTCTCTGTAGGTAAATAACTACTATGACCAACAAACCATCTAAAGCCCATTGGAAGGTGCCATACCATTGAGATATCTTTGTTCTGATAACATGATATTGAGCAAATAATAACACTTTTTAGCCTGATATAAAGGAATTCAAATACACGAGGGAGAAAAAGGATCAAGTAGTTCATTCTTGCTTATTCATTTATTCATTCAACAAATATTTATGTCATAACTTCTTTACTTTGGACACTCCCCCCCCCCCCACTTGGTTGAATGTAAAGATCTCCCTGGCATGGCTTCCCTGCCCCTCATCTTCCTTCTACCTATGGCTCATCGTCAGTAACTCAGCTTTCTGCCCTCTACTCTACTTATCCTCTGATGTGTTTTCCCAAGGCCAGCTGCTTGGAGCCCTGGATCGCATTCCTTTGGAAGAACCCAGTCATCGTTCTCTTTCCTCCATCATTTTCCTGCCGCCGACTAGAGCATCCCCTTCAACCTAAAGGTTTAGCAGCATAACTATTATGTTGCTAACCTTGACTTTACTCTCCTCCCCTCCTGACTTTACGTCTTTATCTTGCTATTACTCTACTTATCTGCTCCTCTTTATAGAACAACTCTTTGAAAGAAATTATCTACATTTAAGGTTTTCAATTTCCTTCCTTCATTTTTCTCTTAAGCCCACTCCCATCAGGACTTTGCCTCCTTCCCCTGCACCAAAAGTGCTCTTGTGAGTTCACCAATGAACTTTATGCCCCTAAACTCAATGGTTCTTAGTACTCATCTTTCTTAACTTACCACTGGTGTTTGCTTTCTCATGTCCTCCTCCTTAAAGCTCTTCAACTGATCTCTAGGACACCTCATTTTGGGGCTTGTCTTCCAGAGGCTGCTCTTGGGTTCCTTTGCTAGTTACTTCTCACTCTTTGATTCTTAGGATTGGAAGGTCCAAGGCACAGGACTTGAACCTTTCATCCTTACCTGCTTACATTCCCCGCCTGGGTGATCTTATTCACTGTCATCTATTCTGACAGCAGCATGGACCACTGTCCTGAAATATAGACTTGTGTAGCCAGTGGCCTGCTTGGCATATATGTCCATCTCAAGGATGACTGTAAGCTGCTGCAAAGTGGAGTTCCTCATTGTTCTCCCTAGCCGTGAGCTTCAGTTTTCAGTAATCATAATAAGTGAAAACTCCGTACTTCTAATTGCTGAGGGGGGTAAACAAAAAACCTTGAAGTCAACATTGCCTCTCATTTTCTTATATCCCAATAGAAACTGTCAGTGCTTCTTATCTTCCAATTTTAAAAAGTATGAAGAACTGGTTCTGTTCCAATCTCCACTTCTACTAGACCAATTATAGCCACTCTCAGTTTCTTGCCTGCGTAACTGCAGGGGCCTCCTTACCAATTCCTCCTCTCCCACCCTTGACCTCTGACAGTCTGTTCTCAACACAGCAGTTAATTGTGCTATGAACCAAGCTCGTAGCAATGGCCAACCATATGATTCTCCTTCCTCCCCCTCTTTTCTGATCTCATCTCTACTACTTTTCTTCTTGGTCAGTGTCCTCTAGACAAGACTGGCCTCTGTCCTGTGCTTCTAACCCATAAATCACATAACCTTAGGGTCTTTAATTTCCTATTCTCTCTTGCCAGGAATGCTCTTCCCCCATATGCCCACACACCAACTTCCTTACTTCCCTCCAACCTTGCTTAAATACCATTCACTGAGCGAGGGTTTTGCTCGCCGCCACCCTCATCTCTCCAGACCCCCTGTCTGCTTTTACTTCTCTTCACTGCAACTACCGTTTCCTATCATCTATATCTCATGCTAATTTTATTCTTATCAGCATTCCTATTTATTTAGATATTTGTTGAATGGATGACTGGATGCAAAAACTAGAAGGTCAGTTGGCAGTATGAGGGTAGACCACGCCATACTTCCTGTGCATGATTACAGAGACTGGGGCCGTAGTCAGAGCCACAGAGATTTAGAACTTTGCTTACTGATAAGTAGAAACAAAGACATTGACATATGCCTGAATAATAATATTTCCATTGCATTAGATACCAGGTTGTCTTCTGATTAGCTGGCGGGGTTATATGGATCCACAGAGTGCACGTTCCGTGTCTCTAAGTGAAGGGCCCCATCTTTAGGCATGGTATTTGTATAATAACTGCTAAATGAAAGAAGAGAGAAAAAGGCACGATGTTTACTCATCGACCAGGATTACTTTAAAGCCGTTGTGACTACTGTAAAGGCATACCTTTATTGCAAGTCTAAAATCATTTTTGCTATAATTAGTGAAAGTTAATGAAACACAATTATCTTGCCAAATCCCAAGATAAAATACTACAAAAGCGCTGGCTGGGGAAGAAATGTAGTCGCTAAAGACACTTAGGACATGTGATTTACTATCAACAGATTAAATTGTGCGAAGATGGGAGGGTCAGGCCAAGAGGCTCCGTACTAGGCTTCTAGTTCGTGCATGCACACATTTATTCCAGACAAAATGTGTTTCAGTGTGTCTGACCATGGATGCTGCAGACGGGTGCTCTCAGTAAAACCCTTGTCTTTGTCTTGTTAGAGTGCCTGCAGCAACAGCAATCACATCGAATCCCGAGAGTAGCTTCCTCTGAAGCACACCTGAACATCTGTGCGTGTTTCCTATCAATCGAGGCACTCAAATGAAGTGTGGCAGGATCATGTTAATACAGTTAATAATCATAACAAGACATTACAAATTATTTGAGCTTGCCAGCATTCCCAAAGTTTGTGAATTTTCCCATTCATGCAATGCTCTGATAGCAAACGTAGTAGCTTGAAGGAAAGAAATAGAGACCACATTTTCTATTTATTTGAATTTCTAATTACTCTTGGTTAAAATTATCCTCTAATTTCCTGTGAGGAAAGCCATGAACATGACATCTTTTTTTAGGGTCCTTTCCTCCCTTGAACGTTGGCAACAGCTCTCTCCTACTGTTCAGCTGCCTCTGTTTCCCCTGCTGCCTTTTAAACACCTTTGAGACCTGTGTGCACCTTACAGCCTGATGCCGTGGGGTCTCCTGGGTTCAATTATGACTTAATTGTTACCTACTTTGAGTCCAGAGCCCTCCTCTAAGTCTTATAGTACTGATGCCTCAGGATGATAGGTCAGAAATGAACTCTTAATACCTTCCCCAGTGAAATGCTCCTCTCCTCTTTCAGTGGTCCATTGGGCCCACCCTGTCACCTCCACACCAATCTATTTGACTCCTTCTCTCCATATCCAGCAAGTCACTCAGTCTGGAAAATCTTATCTTCTTCACATCAAAGATAGCTCTTCTACCTTCCAGCCTCTTCATCAACACCACTGCTGCTTGGCTTGAGATGCCAATCCTGCCCCTGGTCTTTATTTTGTGTTTTAAATGAGTTAATATATTTTTAGTAGTCTCACAGACATGCAATTCCCATATCATACATCTCCATCATTCAGGCACACTCCTAAGACTCGTTGCAAACATCACCATTATCAATTTCAGGACATTCCTTCTTCCTTGAGCGCACTGTTGCTAGCTCTCCACTTCCTGCCCACCTCCTCCGCCATGTCCCTTTAAACCTATTAACCCAGTTGTGGTGTCTATAGATTTATCTGCCCTGGGTTTCATAGACACTGTATTAAAGGGTTGTGTCATTAGGAAGTTGAGAAGCACTGGCACAGGGTCACTGTAGCTTTGGACCAGCAGGATGGCAGCTAACAACAATAGACTGTAAAGACCTTGATAACAGAACCCATGTCCTACTCAGCTCTGTAACTCTAGCCTAGCGTGGTGCTAAATTATTGTGTAAGGGAACAGTGAATGAACTTGGTCATTACCTCCTTTCATTTTCACTTCTATTTTCTAACATCCACTGACTGAATGAGAAAATTCACATACATATATGGTAAACAGAGAGATGTAGGCAAGTGTCCATAACAAGTTGTTAACAACTCACTGGGCTTTGAGTATCCACAGGAGGAGGCGACCCACTTTCTGTATAAACTATTTGATTTGTTATAAGCATGTCTGCTTTTGTATTGAATAAAAACAAAGACCCATCACTGAAGATTGATGTATAGAGTTATGAAAGAGTGGTTCAAAGGGAAAGAAACATAAAGGTGGGTGGTAATTTTAAAAGGGAAATAAAAACAATATATGTGACCAAGAGTAGAAATATACATCTCCCTGTGACATAAAAACAAAAGAAAAACACCAAAAACATTCAGCATCGTTTTTAGCAATGATACACATGTCATCTTAATGTTGTTACATTGAAAAATAAGGCCAACATCACTTATTGTTTTTGAAGAATTCCAATAAACTTCTGGTCAAGGTCATAACAGGAGGGGGAAACTAAATAAGTGGAAATGAATAACCCATGGAAAGGCCATAATACAATAATAATTTATGTAAAATACAGTTTCTACATAGAAGACTAGGTAACTCCCTGAAAAACTATTTGAATTAATAATTGCGTAAAGATAAGCTTTCCCAGATTTAACTCAGAATTAATGATAAGGCATACAGTAGACAGCAGCAGAACAAATGATGATGTACAAGAGCTGCAAGAACAAGATATGTCGAGATTGACATGGCCTACATGAAACTATAAACCAAACTTACTGCCATCAAATCAATTCCGACTCATAGTGGCCTATAGGGCATAGTAAAACTGTCCCATCAGGTTTTGAAGACTGCAAATCTCTATAGAAGTAGATTGCTATATCTTTCTCCTGAAGAGTAACTGGTGGGCCTGAACCATTGACCTTGAGGTTAACAGACAAGCACTTTTTACCACTGTGCCACCAGGGTTCCTGGCCTACATAAAGTGAATTGTTAAAGTTGAATGGCAGATATAAAACAATACCAGAATCAGTCATCCATGATTCTGGAAGGAAATATTTTGAAGAGGTTAAGCTAAAAAAACTCAGTGTTACTGAGTTGATTCTGACTCATAACAATCCTATGGGACAGGGTAGAATTAGCCCTGTGGGTTTCCAAGACTATAACTCTTTACAGGAGTAGAAAGCCTCATCTTTCTCCTTCGGAGTGGCTGGTGGTTTTGAACTGTTGACTTTGCCATTAACGGAGATTAGTTCTTCCCAAAGAGCTTATGGTACTTCCAATCAAATTCTTAACTTCTTTTTTTTTAAGATATAGGGAGTAAATATTCTATAGTCTACCTGCAAAAATGAATAGAAGAAAATTTTTAAATAGTTTAAAGAGGAAGAAAACAGAACCACTCAGAAACACCATTAAAAAGCTTAAATGCACTGCAATGAAGTTGATTTTGACCCATAGAGACCTGGTAGGACAGAGCAGACTCCCCCTGTGGGTTTCCGAGCCTGTCCATCTCTGCAGGGGTAGAAAGCCAACCTTGGGGTTGGCAGTCCAGGCTTAGCCCACACTGCAACCAGAGATCCTATTAGAAAGCTACAATGACTAAGAAAGCGTATTGTGTTCATGCAGACAGGTAAATACGTAGAGTTTAATCTATGTTCCACATCTGTGTCAGATAGCTCTGATGTAAACCCTAGTTCATAGAGGAATAGGTTAACATTGTCTGATCAAAGAAACAAACCAATGGTGCGGTGATAGAGCACTCAAAAGAGACATTGGAACACTTGGCTCTGCAGAAAGAAATGCCAGTAAGGTTGCGTCATACACCGCATCACAAAGCAAACTCTGATGCACTCAGATGTTAGGGATAAACCCAAACTAAAATGCAGGGTCATGTCTAGTTTCTGGACAAGAAAGCATGGCACTTTGAGAACGGTGAGGGCAATGAATGTACAAATGTGCTTTACACAACTGATGTAAGTATGGATTGTGATTAGAGTCGTATGAGCCCCCAATAAAATGATTAAAAACAAATAAATAAATAAAATTTTAAAAAAGAAAGAAAACATGACAACATGGTTACTTAGAACCACATACAGGTTAATATCGAAGGTAACACCGGAGTAGGGAAAAGATCACTTAGAGTCTAAGTCTTAGGCAAATGCAAAGGGCTATAAAATTTGTGAATGGGAAGACATTATAGTAAAGATGTAACTTTTTCAAAAAATCAATCAGCTTTAAATGTAAGTTTGATATTAGAAAGGATAAGTGATTTTTAAAATCACTTGTAAGAACAAGCCAAAGAAAATAGAGGAAAATTCTAAAATATATATACAGTAAAGGAATTATTTCCCTACCAGATATTGTGATATTATAAAAATCTACCATTAAATTCAGAGGGGTTTGTGATAGAAGAACAAACAGATCAGTAAAACAGAAAATGGATGCAGAAACACAACCTATCCAGATATGTTAATTTTTTGACATGATCAATTTCAAATAATGTTCTGCAAAAGCATTGGGCATTACTTATCAAATACCCATACATTTTTCCTAGTGATCTTATGCTTGTGGTGCAAGGACTCAGATGTTAACTGAAAAGACAATGGTCAGAACCCACCAGCCACTCCATGGAAAAAAGATGTGTCAACCTACTTGCGTAAAGACTTACGGCCTTGGCAACCCCGTGGGGCGGTGCTCTGTCCTACGAGATGGCTATGAGTTGGAATCAAGGTTGGAGCCATGATTAGATGTAAAAAAAAAGTTTACTTAAAGATGTTTCTTATAATGTGCTGTAATTATTCCTTATAATAATTATGGAAGTCATCGAGATTTTCCAAAAAGAGAGATGTATATAATTGATATTAAATAACTAAAAACATGATTCAAAATCATGAGAAATATGTACTTTAGGTTAAATGTGCATTCAGCTACATGAGAAAAAAATTTAAAACAGGAAACTATGAGACAAAAATTTCAGTTCCAAAAATAAAGGGGAAAAAGAACATAGGAAATATATATGAAATTGGAATTGTACAATATTTTTCTTTCTGCTTATGTTGATTAGAACGTACAATTTATAAGCATTATTAAATAAAATAATTTGAATAAACATTAAATAAAATAATAATTATTTCATTTATATTTTAAAACATAAATTTATAAATTCTTACAGGAAGGTTTCCCTCAGAAGAGCTCAGCTTATCTCCCCTCAGTTACCACCATTGCAATATTCATCTCACACTTCATGGTTCTGCGTTTGGTGTTAGGCAAGAAGGCAGCTTTTAAAAGGCATTTTGATCAAGCATCCAGCTGAACTTACCGTTCTTTGTGCTTTAATATCTTGCATGAAAAGACCACCACCAAGATGATAACAATGATTGCACTCGCAGAAATAGCTAGGAGACAAAACAGCACAGAACAAATGCCAGAGAAACTTGATTGCTGAAGGGGCTGCCCCTCAGAGTGACTATTACTTTCACTTAGCGCTCCTCCCTCATGAACGCGCACTCCCTGAGTATGGTGGCCTTTTCTGATTTGGTCTACACAGTCTGCATCGAATGCATGAAGCATATCTCTACAGGCATCCATTCAAGTTTCTGTCGAACTTCTCTATTATTTTCAGTTTTATTATCAATTTTTTTGTTACCAAGGTGGCCTTTGGAGCACAGGAAGCAGTAGCCCATGCTCCTGATGCCACAGAATGTACCCTTCACTTCAAGTTGTTACATGTGTTCTGCTCCCTTGGAAACAGCCAGCTAGGACCCAGGAAACCGAAGACCAAGACTTACTGAAATGTCAGCTTTCTGTTTAAAAATGGAGACTAGTTCACTATTTAAGCCAGGTAGCCAACATTATCCATAAGTGGCATTTAAAATTTTAGAATGTCCCCCAGCCCCCAAAATACACCTGAATCAGCAAAACTTAATGTTTTGAATGATAAAAGTGAAAAACTATTTAAAGCATATGTAGGATCTAGGACCTCTGAGATATTCATGTGCACACACATACATATATTAAAGCTTCATTAAAGTTTTTCTTCACATATTTAAAAAAACAAACAAAACAACTTACCACAAACCAGAGGAGCCAGTGAGCCTATGGGAAAATATTCAAAATGAAAATGTCAACCTTGTAGCATAACTCAATATAACCTACTTCCTGCATGAATATTCCAGAAGTCAACAGTACCCCGGGGCCTCCTGAGTCAAAGCAGAAAGACTTAGGGACCCTTGAATACTAGCCATCTTTTATAAACTTTCTTATACGACTGCTCATTGGACCTTTTTATACATCATTATAATTAGGCAGTCTGGGTTAGTCCACTAATGAAATAAACCAATCGAGACAACATTAGCGTCAGAGAGTTCTTAGGTTAGAATAAAAATACTAAGTGCTATGAGGGCTGAGCTAACCTCTTTCTGGAGCCCCCTACCCCCATCAGATTGGCAAGCATGTTGCTCAATCCTGCAACAGTGGGGGTCTCTGCAAGTAGATGCTTGGTTAGTTACACAGACGGCACACGTGTGGAAGAGTGGGAATACATATGCGTTGGACAGAAGGTATTTGCATATGTGTGTTTACTTCTGCTGCAAATATATCCATGGATGTGGTGGAGTGTACTGGGAATCAAGTTATGAAAACTTCTTAGACACAGCCAAGCACCTTGAGGGAATGACTGGCCGAGCTTGGGGATCAGGACCAAGGTCTTGGGGGGCGGGGCATAGGGAATGGGGGTGTTGTCATGGCCCATTAGTCCAGCGGGTTAATTGTTTCCATGCATCTTTCCATTTTCATCACTCTTCTCTCCTCTGGATGGAGAAAGATGGCTGCTCAGGAGCATTTGAGACCCCAGTCAAGATCCGACATGCTGTACGAGTAAGTAGGAACTGGTGCTCCATGAGGGTTTGCAATGGATGAGTTCAATCCGAATGTGTATGAACTATTGAATGTCAAAGTCTGGTGTGCTCTGTAAATTCTCTACCTTGCAAGTCTGGCTAGACCAGAGGATGTACACTGGTACAGGTGGGAGCTGGAAACACAGGGAATCCAGGGCGGATGATCCCTTCAGCACCAGTGGTCTGAGTGACGATACTGGGAGCACAGAGGGAGAGCGGATTGGAAAGGGGGAACCGATTACAAGGATCTACATGTGACCTTCTCCCTAGGGGATGGACAACAGAAAAGTGGGTGAAGGGAGACGTCGGACAGGGCAAGATATGACAAAATAATAATTTATAAATTATCAAGGGTTCATGAGGGAGCGGGGAGCAGGGAAGGAGGGGGAAAAAATGAGGGCCTGATGCCAGGGGCTTGGGTGGTGAGCAAATGTTTTGAGAATGATGAGGGCAATGGATGTACAAATGTGTTTTACACAATTGATGTATGTATGGATTGTGATAAGAGTTGTATGAGTCCCTAATAAAACGATTAAAAAAATTCTCAACTAAGCTATCAGACATTTTATTTTAAAGTCTTCCTCTCTAGTTTCCTTAATTTCCTTCTCCATCCTCAGAAATGTTATTGTTTGGGGACAGACCACTGGCTTCGGATTTCTTCTGCTGCCACACTGCGGGCTCACAGAGCTGTGCTGATTTAACCCCCAGGGTTCCCAACTCAGGGAGACCATCACACTCCTCTCTCCAGGGGGACGGACAGGAGATGCAGTTGGCCCCAGGGACGGCTTTTGCACTTACGAGATTTACAAACTGCCAGGGGAGGGCTCCAATTGTGATCCCCCTGACACTGGCTCTGGGGACTGCCTTCCAACGTGTACCCGTCTTCACACTCCAAAGTCACAGTAGCTCCATACTGATACATTTTCCCAGGCTCCAGCCTCGTCTGCATTCCGCCCGTGTGCTCCGGGAAGCTACAGTTTACCTCTGAAATGAAAGGAAGCTCACTGAAGATGTGTCACAGTTTGGCATTTTCCCACTTACAAGAAAGTTTATGTAACCAACGGATTGCCTCCTCCGAATGGCAGCCATCGTTCACAGGATACTGGGCAATGTTCTAGGCGCACAGTCCTAGAGCATCAGCCATCTCTAGCATCAGTATAGCTAGATCATTGAAGTCAACCTATTTGATCTGCTCAGTGTTTCAGTTTCTAAGCTAATGATGTTGGACACATTGAACACCTTAGAATATCAGTGAGGGCGCACTGGATAATCGTAAGCATCCCAAATAACTCTTCCATCAGCTTCTACTCTTTCTTTACATGTCCATGCCTCCTCATTTATGTCATCTTCCCAAGGTGGGGGGTTGTAATGTGAGTTCTTGCCTTTGTATCCTGGATAGGTTACAAGCCTCCCCATGCCTCTGGGATTTCATCTGTAAAGCAGGCATCATCAAGGAGCCAAGCCAATATGGTGCTTACTCCTTATGAATTGTTTACGGTAATCAAAATGACGTTCTGTAACTTTTCCTGAATAAACTCAAAACCGAGCTCACTGCCCTCAGTCAATGCTGACTCCTAGCGGCTCCTGGTAGGTTTCTGGGCCGGTCACTGGTGACGGGAGTGGAAGGCCCAGTCTTTATCCCGAGGAGCTGCTGGTGGTTTCAAACTGCTGACCATGCGGACTGCAGTCCAACAGGTAACCACGACACCACCCCAATCCCATGACTGTTCCGAGGAAATACATCCAAAAGACCACTGTGCTGTTAGTAGTTTTCATCAAGGGCACACTTCCTGTAACCCTCTTGCAAAATGCACTTGGCCCTTTAGCTGATTCCTATCCACAGGCACGCCGTCTTCCTAATGCAAATGGTTACATAGGTGGTCCCTCGCCAGATGGGCTACAGCCTAAGCCACCTTTCTGATTTGTAGCAGGTCTGCTCTCACACATACAGGGTTGCCACAAGCCATGATCCTCTGATCAGCAATGGATTTGGGTTGGTTTGTTGGTGGTTGTTTTGATGCGACTTCTAATTAATGTATCTCTTTGGCTATTTAGGGACCTCTGGTGGTGCAGTGGATACAAGTTGGACTGTGCTCCACAAGGTTAGCAGTTTGAAACCACCAGTTGCTCCTCTGGAGGAAGACGGGATTTTCTACTCCCGGTTACAGCCCGGAGACCTCACAGAGTGGTCCTACCCTGTCGTCGAGGGTCGGGTCGCTATGAGTCAGCATCACCTCAGTGGTAGTTAATTTGGAGTTTGGACTATTTTATGTTGAAAGCAGTTGACTGAAAACAAAACCAATCTGGGTGACGTTTGATTAAAAGTAGGGGGGAGGGGGAGGGCTACACAAAGCACCTTTGCAATATGGGACCGGCTGGCTCCAAGTCCTCTTGTGGGTGCAAAGAAGGAAAGGCTCTCCCACCATCAGGTAGCCTGGGTCACAGCTGTACTGGATTGACATTCCAGGGGAAAATTGAGCCACCTCTTCACCAGTATGCCGCCCATTGCGGATCTCAGATGGAAGTTCACATCCTGAGAAAGCTAAGCCACGGAGAAGAAGGAGATTTTAATTCAGCAAAGATGAGCACACATTCAACGTGATTTCTACTTGTTAGGTGTTTCCCGGAGCCAATCAGCCAACTAACTAATTGATATCTGGGAACATTCCTTCATTCTACCCAGACTGCCCTACACTAGGGAGGGATCTACATTTCCTACCTATAGCATAGCGATGGGAAGGCACATGGGAAACTTAAGATAATGAAACACCAATGATTGCAGCCCACAATTTTAAATCACCAGCCTGCAGAATGCTCTTCTTTCCCCTTTAAATAGCAGACCAGGAATTAGTCTAAGGAAGGTCCCACTTCCACATGCCTATGGGGGCCAGGGAGTGAAACAGGCAGGTCGAGCAAATCCAAGAACCTCTGTTCTCCTCAAAGTGCCAGCCACTGCTCAGCTCAAGCTTCTAGTATGATCTGGGAAAGCAAAGGGGCACCGTGGGCTCAGTGTCACTCTCGGGTTCTGGAAGATGGGTTTCGCTTCAATGGAACTCTCGTGCCGACCAAACAGAACTTCATTCTTGAGTTTGAATGAAGGTGTGAACTTCATTCTTGAGTCACCACTGTGGCTTCTGCTCAGACGTTCACTGACAAGAAGGAAAAGGCTATCCCATGACAATGGGCAGTGGCGAGGAAGACGGTGTTAAAGGTTTGCCGGCTAGTTTCCTTCCTCAGAACACCCACAAGTCTTTGTTTCATACCCAGTTATCACGCATTATGACTGTCCAAAATTTACAAAAAGAGATGTATGTGAGTTTTTATTTGAATTCTATTATAAAAAATAAGCTTTGGCAACTCCCTCCATGGGAAGTTCACCATTATCGTTTTGTGTCCTTTAGCTTAACACACTTGGAAATGAAAAGAAAAAAAGAATCAAAAGGTTCGAAGATAAGGAAAACAGATATTTTATCAAACAGAATTGCTTTGGCTTCTAGATATTTTTCTTTGGGTAGAATGGCAATGGAAGATTCTCTCTCTCTCTCTCTCTCTTTTTGGCATTATTTAGTGCAACATCCTGTACGTCATCCCTTAATATATCTTACCTTTCCTGATGCAAGTCGGCACACCTGGAACCCATGTATTATCAGCACGACATCGAATTGAGCGGCTGCCGTTCATGATGAAGCCAGAGTTGCAGGCAATGTGTACTGTGTCATTGTGAGCATAGGAAGAACGGGTTTGATTTAGCTTGTATCCGTGCTTGACTTCTGGGCTAGGGCAGCGAGTCACAGGGAGCGACGGCGAGCACTGTGGGGGAGGCCCACTCCAAACACCGCGTCCTTCGGCATCGCTCAGGCACCGGAGAGCCTTCTTTCCCAGGAGATCAAATCCCCGGCCACATTCATAAGCAACCGACTCTCCGTAGGGAACATGTTTGACCGCCATGCTTGTGGGCCGCCCATTCTTAATCGTTGGTGGGGGTGGACAGGAAACAGCTGCAGGAGAGATGTAAGATATTCGACTTCACTAGTTCATCCACATGGACGCGGTCCATTAAGGTACAAATGAGGACTATTCTACTGCATATATTTCACATAACTGGAGGACTATTTCCAACTTAGAGTCTAGAATGTGTATGTTTCAAAGAGCTTTATTACATTTTTATTATATAATATATATGAATTCTGAGAATATTTGGAAAGCATGATGAAATATTAAAGAAGAGAGAGATGACTAGAAATATGGGAACTTTATGATATTTCTCTCTCTATATATGTAATTTATATATATATGTGTGTGTGTGTGTGTGAGTGTATTCATCTTCAGTAAAATCAGCAGGGAAATGGAAAATAGTTAGCTCTTACCTTTGTTTCCCCATGTCAATGCTGACAATGCACTGAAAGAGTTTTCTCATCTTAATTCCATTAAAGGAGCAAGCATGCACTGTTGGGGTGAATTCAGACTAGTTCTTTACAGACCTGCCCTCATTTCATCTTCTCCTCTCACTGTCATGGTTTTTCTTTAAGGGGATTTACCTTGACAAAGAGGAATCTTTTGGAACCAAACCCCATTCTCAGCATCCTGACACTTCTGGTAAGAATGTCCAGTCAATCGGTACCTAGAGGCAAATGAAAACACATTGCTTCTTCCCAACATCACAGCTCTATACTCCAGCCCCATCAGTTCACAACCAGAGAATTATGGCAGAGAGGAGTGGCCTCCCAAGAAGTAATAAGGAAACTACTGTCTAGGAGCCCGGGTGGCATAATAGTTTACGTGCTGGGCTGCTAACTGTGGGGAAACTACTGCTGATTTAGAGCCCCTCGCAGCAAGGCCATTTCCACAGAGAGAAAGCATCAGACATACCAGGCAGACCTGTGGGAACTCACATCCTCTATGCGTGTGACACAGTGTGACTGGTGAGAGCACAGGTAATGCACACAACCATCTGGGGACCGTCTCTTAACAGGGGTCACCTCATACTCACCCAACCTGGCAGGACGTGTTGAATGTTACCATACGGGTGCCAAGTGGAATCTCTTGCCATTCTTCTCTCACAGGTGTACACGATCCTTCTATAGAAGTAAAGGTGGAATTACTCGTAGAGATCTCCATTTCAAAGGGAAAAATCTCTCTGGAACTGAAAGTGGGACAGTAGGACTCCAAATTCCTGGAGGCATAAAATGGATGGATCTGTTTCCCACAAGCAAGTAGCCAAGGTCACAGGCGTAGTTGACAGTCATCCCAGAGACAAACAGGCCCCTATTCCTACCTGTATGTTGACCATGGCAGATTGCAGAAGGTGGCAGGCAGTTTGAAGAGAAAACTCCCCACATAAATGCCCAAAGAAAGAAATTTGTATTAAAACAAACAAACGAAAACATGAAGAGCACAACACCGGACAAGAGTCTGAAAATTGTGAACTGAAGATGACAAGGCTGAGCTTGTTCCACCACCGAAGGGTCTGGAAGCAGGAGTCCCTAAGTGACGCAAATGGTTAATCACAGCCTTGGTTGCTAATCAAAATGAGTCTATGCAGAGGTGGCTCAGAAGAAAGGTCTTCTGGTTTACTTCTGAAAGAATCAGCCATTGAAAAACCTATGGGGCACACACATTGAGTCTGGGTCGTCAGAGAGCGAGTGACCATTGGTCTTAGGAGCCTTTACAGTATCTATCCCGACTGCATCCCAGGTCCATGGGAGCATGTATCCAAAGAGCAGGCGAAGCTGGCAAAGAACATTCTAGTGAAGAGCGGAAGGAATGACAAGCACTCTTGCTTTTTTCTGCGACTCTAAACAACATATAAGTAGATAAACAACTTCCTTTTGTGGGGTCCATTAGCTTCTTACCTTTTTCGCAAACTGGTATTTCAGGTTCCCAGGTGTTGTTGGCTTTGCAACGAATCTCACTGCTACCCTTCAAAGTAAACCCATCATGACACTTGAAGGTCACACTGTCATTGTAGGAATACGGAGCTTCCTTGCCAGATATCTTCCTCCCGTTTGCAACGTGGGCAGGTGAGCACTGGACATCAGGGATGGCGAGCTGGCACAGAGGAGCAGGGCTGCTCCAGGTGCCTGTCTTCTGGTCACGGCTCACGCAGCGCAGGGTGCTCGCTCCAATGAGGTCAAATTCCACTCCTCGCTCTGGCCCTGGGCTACACATGTAAGTGACTGTGGTTCCGTGTGGAACATCCCCAGGGGAACTCCATGAGTGCATCCCGTTGGAGATAGCAGGAGGTGGCGGGCATGTGATTTCTGGGGAGATGACAAGGATATGGTAGATCGCGGTCCTGGGATTAGACATCGCGCGCAGCTTGGAATGGACCTGTTACGATTAGGGTTCCTGGAGGCTACAGGTGAGATATGATGATGGTATTTCTCTCTTTCTACACACACACACACACACACACACACACACACACACACATACACACACACACGCAAGTCAATTTTGACAGACTTCACAGGACACATTTTTGAAATGGGGATCTGTGTTAAAAGTGAACATGTTGGCTGAATTATGAAGTGATAAAGAGAGTAGTACTTTATTCATTAAAATAAAATTTTAAACCAATGGGAGGTGAAAAGGCACACTTTTGGAATCGCATCTTTGAGCTGAGATATCTGGTTGTTTAGATAGTTATCCAAGAATATTTACTATTGATTCTACTTTGTGAAAGGAAGTTTTCTCATCTAGAAAATAGGGGTAGCATCAGTTAATTCTCACACTTTGCACTTGATAGTCTTGGTCTGTGTTGACAGAGGAGGGACAGGAGTTTCAGGGAAGCCATGTGCACTGCCTGAGGTCATTCAGCTGTTTAACAGCACAAACTGAACCTGAGTTTTGATCCAACACGCATCTTCCTATTTTGTCTACTAAACTAGTGCCGCCCGTGATTTAGAAGAGAGGCTCCTATATAGTAATTGCCCTCCTTATGCATATAATCTTAAATCACAAATGAGAACAATTCATTGGGTATATTTACTTTAATTTGATTGAGGGCAGTGGCAGCAGAAAGACCTAGCAAACCCATGGAATGGTCATTATTGAGAATTCATAGAATAAAATATGTTTATTCCCAGGAAATACCCCAAAGCAGAAATCTCCCTGGAAATGTAGAGCTCTTGCTTCATTTCAGTTCTTCGTGTATTCTTGCTACTCACCTTTACAAAGACGAATCTCTACAAACCAAGGAATTGCGCCTCGACACGGCTGATAAACACTCTCACCTAGCCGGTACCTAGGGTGAAAGAATCGTGTGATTTTCTCTTGTGGGGTCCAGGAAGCCCAGCTACAGCTACTGGCCTAGAAGCAAACCCACTGCTTTCAGGACAAGAAGCAAAAGAAAGACAAAGTTAGCCAGCCTCAGCATCCTCTACGCACTGCACAGGCACGGCTTCCGTGCGCGGGAACAGGTGACAGAAGACGGCCTGCAGGGTGTTCTTACACAGAGACCTAGTGCCGGCCAAGACACTTGCCACTCACCCTTCTTCACAGGAAGAGTTAGCATCTTGTCGCACAAACTGACTTTGGGGCTTTGTAAAGAGTTCCTTCCCTATGGGTTCACACTCTGCCACTAAGAAGAGAGACCAGCATTAGAAACCGCACTCAAGAGTCTCAACACCGACAAAACATTTACATTTGCGACCCTGACACCTTGGCACTGAGGGGCTCTGGGTGTCCACACTCCCTCGGAGGTACAGCGTATGGATTCTGGTCCCACCAGCACGAAGCCTGGGTTACAGACGTATTTCATAGATGTTCCAGGGTCAAAGCGCACTGCCTGCATCTCGTTGTTTTGCCCGTTGAGGATTTTAGGTGGCGCCTGGCAGGCTAAATAAAACAGAGGGAAAAAAGAGCGTGGTGTTCACAAAGGCAGAAAGAACGCGAACGCAACCAACTTGACATTAGTGTCACCGCCCACTCTGGCGGCAGCGCATGGCCCAGAGCCTGTCTTACAGCCCAGTCGTGGTTAATTTTCAATGAGCACTTCTACATTGCTTCCTCTTTTCCGCACTCAGTGCGGAAGCTTCTATTTTTAAGGACTCATCTTGCACACTTTTAAAGGAAGATGTGACTATCCCTCTGGAGTGGAGCTTTGCTGACTTCCCGGAGCAGAATCACTGTTAGGATCAATGGAGTCCCTGCAGGTTCAAATCGTCAACACATTCTGCTGCTACCCGAGAAGTTAGAGGTACAAGTCTACCCAGAAGCCCCTCAGAAGGAAAGCCTGATCCTCTACTTCTGAAACATTTGCTGCTGAAAACCCTAGAAAGTAGAGTCCAACTCTGCTACACACGTGATCACCAGGAACCGGACTCAGGGCATCTGGTGGAGTCAGACCAAGAGGCATTTTTGCCAGTTCTTTCCCTACAGAATGGGTGACTCAAAGATAATCTCACAAAAGGAAGTAGTCGGGAAGTGGTGCTTGTTGAAGAAAACTCCCTGCATAATTTGTATCTGCTGTATTGCATGTCAACAAAGGGAGTAGATGCTGGAAAAGGCTGTTCTTAAATCTATGATCCACAGCGCTTCTTCCACATTTTCAAGTGGATGAGTCAGTTACACCTTCTCTGCAATACTCACGCTTTTCACAGATTGGTAGGGAGGGATCCCATGTGCTGCGAGCATTACAGCGCGCTTGGGTCTTGCCCTTCATGGTGAAAGGAAGCACACAGGCAAGCAGCACAGTGTCATTATAGCGATATTCCTCTTTCTGTGCAGATGCTATATATCCATTCCGGATACGGGGATGTGGGCACTGAACAGCAGAAGTAGAAAGTTCACAGTGTGGTGGAGGGTCACTCCAGATGCCAGTCCCCTGACTATCACTTGCACAATGGATGGTGTGCTTGCCAATAAGGATGAAGGCCACTCCTTGCTCTGGATCTGGGTCACAAGTGTAAGTGACTGTGTCTCCATACTGAACAAGCCCCGAAGAGCTGCCTGTGTATCTTCCATTGCGGATTGTGGGAGGTGGTGAGCAAATAATGCCTAGAAAAATGACAAGGAGAAATGACAGCTGTTCAGTAGAGAAAGAATGCATTCTCGGATGCTGCTCGATACCGCTGTAATATCTGAGTTTCAAGGAGAATGATATTTAATGAGTCAAAGCAGGCAGATAATGCAATATGATTGACAAAGTATGATTTCTAAACCTTATTCCTGAGTACTTGCCTTTCTGATATCTACCTATCTTTCTTTCTTTCTTACCAAATATACAATCTCCTTAATGTGCACAGCCTACTCTCTCACTTGCAAATCTGCAGAGCTTTCAGGAAAGAAAGACTAAGAACCGAGTTTTAGCTGGGGGGTGGAGGGGGGGACACAAAGGTAACCGGCTGATGCTTCAATAAAGTCGATATCCATTAAAGAGCTCTAAAAGAGGTCTTTGCTCTGCAGGAATCCTGTGCAGTGATGACTGAACCCAAAATGTTCATTAAGCAGAGATGTGCCCTATTGAACCTCTCTTTCAGAGAGTAGTGGCAAATCCATTGCCTTTGCCTACCTTCACATACTGGTTTCTTGGTCCAAGCAGCTTGCTGCCCAGCAATTACACACTGGCTAAAAGGCTGGCCTCGTAATCGAAACCTGGAGACAGAAGGTTGTCATTCAGAGCTATTAGTTGAGTTTCACTGAAGATCAGCCACTTCTACTTCAAATTTAAGATTGAGTCTCTTAGACACCCCATCTTGTGTTTCCCATTGGGCACTCTGGACCTGGTCCCTATCCAAACCATGGTGACCCGGGCTGTGTGCTATAGACAATCAATCAGGACTTAAGACTCTGTCCTTTTGAGGTGCACAACATTCTTCATAGGCTACCTGAGAAGATTCCAATTTGGAAATCTTACTAAGTGAATGGGATTTTACCTTAAATATGTAACAGATTTAAAGAACTGAAATACTCCCTTGGACTTAAAGCTGAACCCCCACAGTGTGGGAAGAAACAGATGACTACTATCGTACGGCTGTAGAATTGTTGGACTTTTGTTGGATTGGATCTGCTGCTTTGAGGGGCCCAATGAATGGTGGCTCAAGACTACCATGTATTTGCTGTTTTCAGACTTTCTTTGCTTTTTTGTGACTTGTCTTAGTCTAGCAGGCATGGTTCTGCCTTTGTGAATGAGCATTATTGAAAGTTTTCCCCTATCTCCCACTCTCCTACTTTGCTTAAATAGTGTCTAGTCACTTGAGTTTCTGAGCTGTACAGTTCTCAGAAGCTGTCCTATACATAGCTACTTTGTTTATCTAAACAAATCTGAAATTCAATAACATTGCTTAACTGAATGATGATATCAATAGAATTACCATATACCCCATAGAGATGACTCACAATGTTCCCCAACAAAATGACAATGATGTCTCTAAGGTGGACCAGGTGTACAGATATAAACCATAGATACATTCATGGATTTTGAGCTAAAGCTTAATTGTTGCCCTAACCTAAGAACAATTAGTTCTTGGGTTATGGCCCTGCTCGATACCTGTCCTCATGAAGAGAGGACCGAAGATGTTGGTGCTATAGCAAAATGTGGTGAAGACATTAAATGGTGCCTAGCTAGCAGAAAGAATAGCATCTGGAGCCTTAACATTTGTCTTAAAACAAGCAGCCTTCTAAGTGAGGTGACAACTAAGTCTACATGAAGAAGCACATCAGCCTGTGTGATCCAAGACTGTAAATAGTAAAATCCAAGAGAGGAGGAGGGACTAGTCTTAGAGCCTAAATTTTGAGCACCCAGCTTGCAGAAACATATGGATGACAGTGCAAACCCAAAATTCATTTCCGGAGTCCCCACTTGTCATAAGCCTCTGGTAAACCCCTTCTAGTCATTGACCAGGGATTTGAATAGCCTACTGTAAAACAGAGGGCATTGAAAAACAGGCTAACACAAATGTACTTAGCTTAAAATGTAACATCTTATCATTTGTTTTCCCTTTTGACACATTTTTAATTTGTTCTAGTTTTAATTATTTTTCTGTTATCTTTACAACTGAGGTTTTCTATGTTTTATTTTGTTATTATTATTATTGTTTGATTGCTTGTTGCTTTTGAGGGGCGGTATGCTTTTTTCTATATGAAATCCAGGATAGGTAAGTCTATAGCCACAGTAACTGGATTAATAGTTTCTTGGGGTTATGGTAAGAGAGGGATTCAGGGAAGGAAACGAGTAGCTAATAATGAGTACAAGGAAGAAGAAAATGTTCTAAAGCTGATTGTATAAATATTCTAATATTTATTGTCTAAAATTAATATGGTTAAACTATTGAACTGTATGACATGTGAATTCTCGGTCCATAAAACTGTTAAAAACGTGTGTTAAAAGATTAAATCTCTTACATTGGTTTATTTGTGTGCAACTAGTCCCTTGATCAGCATTCTCTCTCATACCCTCTCCCAGGCTGTTCACAGATCCTCTCCAAGCATCTTGCTGTGGCTGTCACAGTTCATGCTGTTAACATGGCAAGCCGGTGCAATTGAATGTCCCTGTCCAGCTAATACTCACCCTTTGTTGCAGGAAAAGTTCACCGTCACGCCAACCCGAAGACTTGCTGGCACCTCCACCCACCCGTTGGGAAACTGTCCTGGAGCCTCACACTGTGCCTCTAAGGGAACAAGTCAAAGATGAGCAAATCATCCTGAAAATGTCCACATTCTGAAAATGGATCATAAATTCAGGGCACCTTCACATGTGGGACTGAGAGCATCCCAGTCTCCTGAAGACAAGCAGGTGATGGTCTTCTCGCCATGAAGTAAGTAGCCATGTTCACAACTATAAGTCACAGACAATCCTGGGGCAAAGGAACTTCTATTCTCCCCTGTGTGGTGGCCACTGAGGATCCTGGGAAGTGGTGGACACTCCGAAGGGACATCTTCACACAGAAAAAAGCCATCAGGTGAAACAGTTGTCATAACCTAGATCCAGTTGTGGTTTAATTCTGTCTATTTCATACCATGAATAGTACATTATTTAAACTGGCTACACATACTTTATGAATCATAATTGCCTTGTGAAAAAATTTTGCTACTGTTTTTATAAACCACCTATATGCATATTGTACATGTCAACATATATATATGTAGATTGTGTGTACCACCTAGTACATCCTATGCCAGACCTGCCTTCCTTTTCTTTACCACCTGTGAGATCTCTGTCAGTCTTTATAAAGGCTCAACTGTTTCCTCCAGATGGACTTTCCATTTGGTGACTATCATAAGATCTTTCTTACCACCAAGCTTTTATATTTTCAAAACGAAAAGCTATATCATTGAGTTATCTAATAGTTTTTCAAGCATTTCAACCCACTCAGAATAGATCAGTGTTGTTCTATATTAAGAAAATAGCTGGTGTTCATGAAGTTTTTGTTTAAGGGGCCCATCCCTGTCACTGTGTATTGAAATGCAGATTGTAATTTCATTAGCAACATACACCACATCAACTGGGAGGAAAAGGGAGGACAGTGATCCAGGTTTGAATCCCCCCTCGTTTGATCGGAAACATTATTGCCTTGGGAAAGTAAAGAGTCATGTTAGCAGCTGAGTACAAAGACCACAGAGAACACACATCTCATCTTGGCAAGACAACAGCAGCAGCCAGTGATGGATGAAGTTCAACTCCACGGAGGGCATGTTGCCCGCATTTCTTCTCATTATTCTGACAGCAACCCAGAGAGATCTTCGTGAACCACAACTACCACAGCCCTCTCCCTTCGCCCCGTCCTGTGGGACTCATTTTCCCCATCACTGTTGGCTCTGCTGTCGAGCGGATCCTGACTCATGGTGACCCCAGGCACAAAGAGACAACACTGCACCATCCTAGCATCAGTTGAGACCAGACAAGTGCCCCGTTTTAATGAATAGGTTTTTCATTGGCTGATTTTCAGAAGCCTTTCTTCCTAATCCATTTTAGCAAGAAAGCTCTGCTGCACCTACTGAGCATTTCAGTTACATACAAGTCACCACAGTAAGATACGGAGCAGTAGCTGTGCCGGAAGTGCATTGGCTGGGAATCGGAACCGAGTCTCCCTCAAGGAGGGTAAGGATGTCACCAATGAACCACCAATGCCTCATATCAGTTACCAGGAGGGATGCTGAATTACATTCTCCCATTAGACTGTAAGCTTCTTTGCTGAGCTGACGTTCGATGAATGGATGTTTAGATTCCTCTAGGACTAAGAAAAAACAAGAAACCATAATTTCGAGCCTATCCTTTGCTTCCTCCCCTTATGCAGGCCCCCCTATCTCCTTCAGAATAATGCATGATTTGATCTGCACAGATGCAAATCTCAGCTGTATTCTCATGCTTACCACTCTCGCAGGTCGGTAGCGATGTAGGTCCCCACGTTCCATTTGCTTGGCACCAAACAGAATTATTTCCTTTCATGGTGAAGTTGGTGTTACAGGTAAATGTCACGGAATCGCCATGTCGGTATGATGGTCTAAATAGTGTTGTTATGCGCCCCCCCGGTACTCTGGGCTCAGAGCAAACAGAATTTCGATTGAAATACTCACATCTGGGAGGAGCTTTATCCCAGATTGCAGTCACATTGTCTTGACTAATACAAAGAAGAGTTCTGTGTCCAATGAGGCGGAATGAGTTGAAGGAACAAGTGTACCTTACCATACTGCCAACAGGAAGGTGGCCAGAATGATACGATTGTCGTGTATTTTTTACGACAGAAGGAGGTCCGCAATAAAGTCCTGAAAGGTAGAGAAAGAACTATATAGCTAATGATTCTAAGCACAAAGCCATAGCTTAAACCATCACCATTACCAAAAGAGTCAAATTTAGGTAAATGCTCCAAAATATAGATCATGTAAACAGATTTCAATATATGTATAACTTCTTTCCTTCCTATCATCAGGGTACTAGGCTCTTAGCTTTTGTTTTGTCTTTCAGGAACCAAATCAGTTTAAGACTGTAAGTACCATTTTGACCAAACAATGCCAAGGAAACAGAGTTTTACTGAGCAGGGCTGAGTCTAATCATTTTAACAATAACAAAAGGTAAACCTAGCATATGAGAGGTACATGCTAATGGTATGATGATGGCGTGCAGGGCCACTTCGCTGACCGGTGTAAAGCCCTTTTAGAAAACCAGACCCGCAGCGACTTCGGGCAAGGCCTCAAATTCATTTGGTCTACTGACCCATTTTCAGGAAAAAATCACTCAGCACCCCCCTGGCAGCTAAATTGTTTGTACGATAAACAATTATAAGCAAATTTAAACAAATTTAACTATAAACAAATGATATACTATAAACAAACTATACATTAAAACTATTTGTTCTATACTATAGCCCATAACTCAGGATAAAGTACTGATATCTGCTTCTACAGTCTGGGATAATACTGGG